AGATCTACTAATCCCTAATTATCGACTTTAATTTCCAAGGAAGCTAGAGAAATTTCAGAAAGTTCAGTTCCAGGAAAAGAATTACTGGAAGGAAGACGATTCAAAGTTTTATGCTCTTCAAACAAGCCCAGCCCCCCAGTGGCCGGTATGTCTGCGGACTTACAACGCTAGAATCCGGGTTTCGATACTCGTGGTGGGCAGAGCACAGATATCCCATTGTGTTGCTTTGTGCTTAACTTCAAACAAACAATCAAACAAGTTCCCAGCGGCTTAGCCATAAATTTCAAGGCTTACAAAGCTAAATTTTGGGTTTCGATACCCTCAGTGGGCAGAGCACAGATAGCCCATTGTACAATTTTGTGCTTAATAAGAAAAAAACTCTTGAAACCAATAAAATGATAAAGTTTAATGCAAGAGGAAAAAAAATCGGTGATCAACGTTACAGCTAAATGATGGTCGTTTGCCGACACATTAGACACATAGTTCTTTTAGAGTTGAGTTTATCTGTTTCTTTAAAATCTAGGCTTTATCTCTCTATGTCTGCATTTGTTTGTTAACCGGACAATACAAGGATCAATTAGATTCATTGGACCTTACCACCCGCTTTTAGTTATCCAACTTCAACAGTTTGTACTCCAGTTACCACTAAACCAAGCTTTTCAGTTTTCATCTGAGATAAGCTGTCTTGGGACTTAATGTTGGCTATCATATGACAGTTTTCTTTAATTTATCTAACGTGGCATTATCTGAAACTAGTCAAAGAAACGGTCTTTTATAACAACGTTTTTGTTAGACGGACATCCTCCATCTTGCGTCTTTTGAAACTAAGAAATATTCCTGCTCTTAATGATTATCTTGCAGACTAACTATGGCTACATCTGCGCATTTATAGGGCTCAGCAGTCATACAATACATCACATGACCATACATTTTGCATATGCGTCTAGTTGGAGTATTGTGCAAATCTGGTGGTTCTAACAAAATAGCCAGTGAATGAATATCTACTGTTTACGCGATGCTCGTTACTCTTACAGAGCTCTTCAAGCCACACTTGAAGACCTTGAATACAGATTTGATGACTTGAGGGAAACAAAGACTCACATTGAAGAGTGGATGAGGCAGGTTCCTCCTTCAATTCTTTTGGAACAGGAGAAGAAGGTAGTCATTTTGCAAGACTCATAATAAAGCACACACACATACTCCGCCTTGTCGATTAAATCATAATGAAACGTTTTATAGTAGACGTATAACCGGTAAACAAAATATTTTTATATACTGCTCCCGTAAGTATAGAAACCAAGATTCTCAAACAAAATATTATTTTATTAATTTCTGTTTTATATATGTCGAAATAATGAGGCTTATTCTTCTTAATATTATATATAGTAGTAGCAGTATCTGGTATGTAAGTTGAATAATATGGATGTTGAGCTAAGGATTCTTCTACAGTAGGTGTCTGTGACTTGTTGGCGATAAGTTAAAAAAAAAACGAACAGTACGCATTACATCTGTTTTTCAAATAATATATTCAAAAAAAGTTAAACGTACGCACAAACTTCTTTACACTATGCATATCATAGTTGCGTATTAAACACTATACAGTTTTTTTATTCTTGTCAAAGTACACTTAAGCTAATTCAATCATTTTAGAATTTAGTTGACAAGCTGTACTATTTTTATCTTAAACACTATCAGTGAATAATTCACTTATTCATTTTCTTCTCTCTCTTTTATTTTTATTTTTATCACAACAGTATCAGCGTATAATTCACTTATGCTGCCTCGTTGAGTTATCGCAGTTGTATCCTGAACTTCCAATACTCGTCTGCTTTTTCGTATTTAGGCCTACTTTCAAATAATCGTCTGCTTTTTTGTGAAAGTCCACACAGGCATGTTCAATTTTTGTTATACATAAAGTTAAAGAATGACAATAAATTGAACTTTTGTTACTAAAATCAAAGCATCAGGAGTGAAACAAAGTGGCGATCAAATAGATATGGGACATGTTTTATATGACTAATATATTAGTCTCTTGAACAATAAGTTTAGTCTTCGTGTTGGAAATAAATGTTTGTTGCATTAAGAATTTCTGTTGTATATATTTCAATTGAGTTGTGCGAAAAAGGTACAGACGAGCTAGGTAAATACGACAGATACCACATTACCAAATACTAGTAGGTTTAAGTTTCGTTAAGCCTTGTGTAAGGAGCATAAGTAGCCATTTCTTCCGATTGTTGAGTGAAATCTAATTCAATTAAAATGAATACGCTTGGTGTAAAAATAAAATAAATAATTTAATGTTAATAAGTAGCTATTTCTTCTGAATGTTGAGTAAAATTTAACTCAATTAAAATGAATACACTTCGTTTAAAAATAAAATATATAATTTAATGTTAATAGGTCATAAAACCTAATTCTGGTATGTAATAATAATTGATAAATGTAATGGTTATTGATTAATAACTTACATATAATTGATAAATATTACAGCTCACTAACGTAATCTCGTTCACACCGAAACAGTTTTTGTTTAAGCATTTTGATTATAGGAATATCGTTTCAACCACTACAATATTTCTGTTATATTCAGCCCTGGTATCATTGAGCCTTGGTATCCAGTGAAAGGCTTCGTCAGCGCTGGATATAGCTGATATACTGTTGTTGACATATTATTAATTATTCTTTACTTTCGCTCATAAGTTGTTATACTTTTGTTAAGCTTATTGTTCTAAAATCGGATTCTTGTGGCTCATTCATGCAAACTTATTTTTGTAATTTTTATTGTATTACATTTAATGAAGAATTTCTAAGCACATGATCAACTTTTTTCTCCTACTTTACATCATTCCAGATAGGTGACCTGTATATCAGGATAAACAATGTTCTTCGAGCATTTTATGAAGTTTTGGGAAACATGGATCTGGAACAATCATCAAGTCAGTTTAAACCTGCACTGGACGCCTATAAGGAAGGAGCAAGTTTTGCACTGATGGGGAAATTTCGTAAAGAGTTCTTAAATCTTCAAAGGAAACTGGTAAGTAAAACAAATAGCGTATTTACCACTCTATTCCTTAAATGAATTCAAATATTTAGGTATAATATGTTCTATAGTAACCTTGGAAACGAATCTGCTCACAAATTATAGATGGGTAGTGAATGGATGTATGAACTGATGGATAGATAGATAATAGATACTTGATATTTTTTATTAAACCAACCAACCAACCAGTTTTTTATAAGGAAATAAAAACATATTCATCCATTGCATTATTTACATAACAAATTTATCTATAAATAATTATTACATACTGCTACACATTTAAAATAGTTTTTTTTTTTTATATAATTTCGCGCAAATCTACACGAGGGCTATCTACGCTAGCCGTCCCTAACCTAGCAGTGTAAGACTAGAAGGAAGACAGCTAGTCATCACCATCAACTCTTGGGCTACTTTTTTACCAACGTCACATTATAATGCCCTCACGGCTGAAAGGGCGAGCATGTTTGGTGTGACAGGGATTCGAACCCGCGACCCTCAGATTGCGAGTCGAGGGCATATTTAAAATGGATGAAGTAATAGTTATAAAATGTTGAATTAAATTTGAATACTTTAGTAAAATATTCAAGCTGTAGTTTTGCAAATTTCAATCACATCATCAACTATTATTTAGCATACAATGATTATTAAAATTATAAATATATATATATATATATAATCATATCTCTCAGGAAGGGAAAAAATTAATAAATTATTCAAAAAGAGGAAATTTCACAATATTTTGATCTATAATAGATAGATTTTAAAATTATATACATTGTCAGTTTACAGACATTATAATATACTATAAATGTGTTTTTCTTCTTTATTTGTTTGTTTCAGGATATTATTGGTAAGTTAGAAAACACGAAAGATATCACCTCAGCGTAAGTATCAAAGTTATACTTTGAAATTAATATCAAATATCCGTTTGGTCTAAGACTGCTGGATTAAACGAAAACCAGCACATTTGCCTCTGTTTTTTACCCTTCTCAGTAGAATAAAAAAATCTAATACAGTTACTATGAGCACGATAACATGTTTATTATTGAAGAACCTATACTGTAAAAAGTTAATTCTGCTCATTTTCTTCTGTTTTTACCCTTCTCAGAACAATACCAAAAGGTAACACATGTACTACAAACACGATAACATGTTCATCATTGAAGAACCTATACTGTAAAAAATTATTCCGAACATTTTCTTCTGCTTTTGCCCTTCTCAGGAGGATAAAAAACTAATACAGTTACTACTAACACGATAACATGTTCATCATCGAAGAACCTATACTATAAAACGTTAATCCGCGCATTTGCTTCTGTTTTTACCCTTCTCAGGAGAATAAAAAAATCTAATACAGCAATTTCACACGTTGCCGGGGGAGGGGGATGGAACGAACAAACAACTCTATATCATAAAAAGTGTAAAAGGTGCAATATCTTTTTTTTTTGTAGACAATTCACTTTTATGTAATCTCCTAGTGGGTCAAAGGTAAGTTTACGGACTTACAACACTAAACTCCAATGATCGATTTCCTCTGGTTGCCCCCCCCCCAGTGGCACAGCGGAATGTCTACGGACTTACAACGCTAGAAACCGGGTTTCGATACCCGTGGTGGGCAGAGCCCGAATAGCCCATTGTGTAGCTTTGTGCTTAATTACAAACAAACAAATAATTCTCTGGTTGAAAGAGTGGAGATAGGCTATTGTATAACCTTGTACTAAAACAAACACTTTTCTTAGAATTTTTTGTGTAGAAGAAAATGACCAGATTTTTTAGATATATATCCCCCCCCCCTCTATTATGCTATGTTTGCTACGTCTGTGGTATAAACATTTATATGAGAAGCGCACTTGTGTTTTAAAGCCGCTTATCCGATTTTTCCTCTTCCAACCGTAGGCATAAATTATGAGCCTTTAAATACGACTTACATGAGTTTGTCCAAAACAACTTTGCTTACGCTTAAAAAAAAGACAAAAGAATTCGCGAACTTTTAATTAGGTCAACGGCAGACGAGTTTTAACGGTCAGTTTGGAAGCTTCGTGTCCGCTAAATTTTCTGTTAATAGTTCCCGTAATACATCATTCCTTTAATGATATTTATTATTTAGCTGAGTTTGAAACTAGAAACACTGAGCACGAGACAGTTTGAATGAATTCCAAGTTAGATTTTCGTTCTTACAATTAATGGCAGAGTGCGTATACATCACAGGCCTTCGAAAGCCTGATTCGTAACCCGAACTATCGTCAGATTTTGCAATAGTAAGCAAAACTCTATCTGAGGGATGCTATTCTTCTCCAACATGCTCAGACCAGGCCCGTGGTCTTCTTCTGAAGTGACCCAGTGTGGAAAATAATTTGGGACCACTGGTCTGAGTCATTGAATATAATTCATCACTAAGCCTTTTGTGGTAGGTATATATCTGAGCTCGTGTACTGTACATATAATCCTTAGGTAATCTTTGCGATATTTTGTTACTATATATGATTATAATATATATATGTATATATATATAACTAGATATCTAAACATTATTTCCTTAGGCATACATCTATACAATGTGCTGTTAAGTAACAATAACGATATTTTAAATCACACACCATACAGACAACACAACTTGAAATCAACATTTGCTGTTACATAACAGAAGAAAGTGCCATAAAAGAACAGATAACAAAACGGTAATTTTATACGATGCGGTGTTGAAAAATAGAACATTTATTTCATATTTAAAACTTGCTGTAAAAATACGTCATATTTGGCTGTGTAAACATAGTTCACGCTGCTTTAACTACTTACAGTAATATTTCTGTTAACTATCAACAGTACTTGATATGTTATATAACTTTACTTACAGATTGCCCGTGATAACGTTAAGTTTCAAAATTAAGGCAATTGAGTGTAAATGAATTTTATTGAAGCAAGCACATTTTATCACTCCTCTGTTTTGTTGTTATATGTAAGTGCTCAGGTTTGATTTGTTTTCGAATTTCGCGCAAAGCTACACGAGGGCTATCTGCGCTAGCCGTCCCTAATTTAGCAGTGAAAGACTAGAGGGAAGGCAGCTAGTCATCCCCACCCACCGACAACTCTTGAGGTACTCTTTTACCAATGAATAGTGAGATTGACAGTGACATTATAACGCCCCCTCCCCCACGACTGACAGGGTGAGCATGTTTGGTGGGACGAGGATTCGAACCCACGACCCTCCGATTGCGAGTTAAGCTCCCTAACCACCTGGCCATGCCGAGCCATGTAAGTGCTCAGAAAATGAAAAAGCTTATCTGTCCGGGTTGTGTATCATAGTATCAGCAGATAGTAATAAGCTCTGTGTAAGTGTGTTCTGGTCAAATATGACTCCGTTCTTGAACTTGGCTCTAGAGTACACAGTAAATTAACCGTTTTTACATAAATCAAAGCACCATATGGAAGAAAAATAGTTAATTAGATCAACATACACTTAATATTTAAAAGAGACAAGATAAATTTCTATTTTAAGAATGCGTTGATGAGTCGTGTTATAAGAAAATAGAGTAGTTTGTCGTCGCATGTTTTCTTTTGTCATCCAAATCCCAGAATAAAACTCAATCCAAAAATTTAGTTTTTCGTTTTTATATTGAGCAAAGTAGAGAGAATAGCAAAGCTCTCACATTCAAGAGTTTGGGTTTTTTCTCTTTCTTTTTCGCTCCATTCCTTTCTTTTAAAAACACTTGGCTAATTGAATGATATCGTTAACTTATCTCATTCTTCAGTTTCATAGTGTCAAACTATTTAATTTTTGATTTCATTTCACTTTTTATGATTGTTTTATAATATTTTGATATTTATACCTAGCAATTTATTTCTTTGCTATGTTGCATTCTGTTTCAGAGGAAAGGCAGGGAGGAACGGGAAGCAGTACTTACATTGAATGGGGCAGTAAGATGTGCACTAGTGCTTTATCAACAACTTTGCACTCGGGATATATGGCAGCCACAAAAGAGGCTGGAGTAGGTGGCGCTGTGTCCTACCTGTGTCTTCCTGAAAACCCTCAGTTAGAAAATAGCCCAGTAGTCACAGCATCAACAAGTTTACAAAGTCCTGTGAACGGTGTCCGTTATGGACTATTAGACGCTGGATTGCCAGACGTGGAACTAAACAAAAATCTTTATACTAAGGGAGTGCCGTGTAGTCTCTGTCATCTACATAGTGGTATGAATGTGCTGACCATTCCTGGTAAAGATGGATGCCCACAAAGTTTCATGCAGCAGTATGCCGGATATTTGATGGCCAGCCAAGATGGAGGCCAAAGGACGGAGTATGTCTGTGTTAGAAAAGGAGCTACTTTCCATGAAGTAAATGGCTTACTACCACGAGCAGGAAATAATTTGGCTTTAGTTGCTGCTAAACCTGGAGCCCTTCCAGCAGACAAATATCCCGAAAACAGCTTGATCCCATGCGTGGTGTGTTCTACAATGTACTAAATACAGCAAAGCCTTCGTAAACCAGAACATTGTCTACAAAATAAATATATAACGCTATCGAAACATATCTTCTAAACTTATTTAAAGAAAATAGGCAGTTGTTGATTGGATGTTGCAAACAAAATAAATTGTGAAGCTTATTTTATAACTTTCTTAATTTGATTGCTTGATGAATATCTCACACTATCAATATCCTTCCATTTATATGAGAAAAAGAAAATTGTTCATAATAACATATCATACCTGAAATGAACACAGACAAGGTAAAACAAACACACTGCTCGAGTAAAGTAAAAAATAATCGTAATTTATATTATAGCAATGACATGTAAAGAACACTGTTATAAGATAACGTCAATTATCTCCATTGTTAGGAAAATCAGGCGTCTATTGGTCAATCATATAATCTAAATTTGCCAATTCTTGGTCCTTCAGTAATGCTTGTCTAAATCAACATTTTTAATTTTTGTATTCCTAGCATGATATCTTCGCTATAATTAGCCCTGAGCGTATCACGTGATTGAAACATTTCAACTGCTGAATTGAAAGCCGGTCAACAAATCATGTGAATGTTGCGTGGTTTTCAAGGCCGTTGCCATGCATGCATGACATAGCAGCAATACTTTACAGACAGTAGTTTTTTTTCAGCACAGAGAAAACACGCTGATTCATTTAGGACAATTACAATTTGCTCAAACCAATAAAATGAATGTGGAGAGAATTTAAGGTATAATATTTCAGTTACTCATGCCCACTGGTGGCTCAGTGGAAAGTCTAAGGACTTATAACCCTAAAATTCTGGTTTCGATACCTGTGGTGGGTACATCACAGATAGCCCATCCTACAACTTTTGCGTTTAACAACAGGCAAATAAACAGTTACAGATGAAAAGCTGTAGAGTCTCATTATAGAAAAGTACAGTCAGAGTACTAAAATCATAACCAAAGGAGCTGTGAAAGTATTCTAGAAATATTGACTTGCACGGAGGGTGACTGTGGATAACAACGTCAGAAATCTAGCCAGCATTATAGGCAAATTATATTTTGAAGTTATCAGAAAAAATGCATTCTTTATACGTTTTTTGTTGTTATTTGTAAGCACGTGAAGGTACAATCATTTTCTTGACTTTATATCTACTAATAAATAAATTAAATAAGTATGGCCCATTTCTGGATTAAGTTAATTATTTGTGATATGAATATTATAGTCATGTAGATGAATAGGCCTCCGGGTTAAAATTTTGTAGATGAAGACGCTGAAACATTGTTTAATTACAATAGTAACAATAACAATGGATTTAATATTAATTCTTAAAATAAAATACTTCAATGAAATGTTAATCTTTAAGATTTCCATGTAAGCTTCAAAATGTAGGCTAAAAATAATACGTTACAATGCTAATTAATCAGATTTTAGTAAAACTGAAAACAGAAGAGGTGGTAGAATGAATGAATTATTGATTGGTGATTTGGAGCAACAGATCATTTATTGCCCTCATAACCAGTCAATAATTGTTTATTGAGTCACACAGTTCAAAGTAGTCTAACTTGTTCATGAAATATGTATGGCTAGACATCAAGAAAACGTTTTGATCTTTTACTGGTATAGAGAACTATTGAACACTGGGAACGAGCCAATCACAGCAGGCTATTGCGAAGTTACTCCAGGTTTCTCAAAGTGTGATTAGCGGAATGTGGAACTGCTTTTAAACCAGTGTTATGATTGGACGTCCAGGCAAAACAGACATCATTCACGTCACAAGCAAGCGATCGCTTATCTATAGATTATATCTTGCTGCAATCGTGGTTAAGGCTTCAAGGTTAAATAATCTGCTAGCAGCTGTATGTGAACGCCATGTCAGGGTACAAACAGCTAGTAACAGACTTTAAAAGACGGCTTTGTATTCAAGATGTCAAATTGAAAGCGTTTCATTCACAGTGAGACATAAGATGTAAGGTCCAGTTGATCAATGAAACTTGGAGCAGTATCATTTTCACATGTGAGCTGCCCTCCATTTTTCATCTATATAACAGGTTTATAACTCATTTGGAGAGTGCCTGGGACCAGGTCCAACCCATTGTCATTGAAGAACAAAACATAGAAAGCGTTGGTGGAAATATGGTTGAGCAGAATTGCAATATAGATGCATGTATTGACCTCTATATCTTGCGTTATGGGACCATTAATGCAACATTGGTGCATGTATTAACCTCTATATCTTGCTTTATGGGACCATTAATGCAACATTGGTGCATGTATTAACCTCTATATCTTGCTTTATGGGACCATTAATGCAACATTGGTGCACGTATTAACCTCTATATCTTGCTTTATGGGACCACTAATGCAACATTGGTGCATGTATTAACCTCTATATCTTGCGTTATGGGACCATTAATGCAACATTGGTGCATGTATTAACCTCTATATCTTGCGTTATAGGACCATTAATGCAACATTGGTGCATGTATTAACCTCTATATCTTGCGTTATAGGACCATTAATGCCAGCCTGATAGGCACTACATACTGCTTTTTTATGTGCTGCCGTATGTTGATGCAATTCATCATGTTTTCAACTTAATACGAGATAACACTCACCTCACCGTTTTAAACTGGTCAACACATTTCCTGGAAAAGAAGAGATTGACCGAACAGAGTGACTTTTACGCTCAGTGGACATTCTGTCAAGTAACTACAGACAGTAAAGTCGTCCTGAAGACAGAGGGGAAGGGGGGTCGAGGATAGCTCGGAACTTTATCAACACTGATTTTAAATATGCAACATTAGTGGCAGGCTGTTCTTAGAGTTCACGATGATTATTCTCCATATTGAAGTGAAATGTCAAGAACTGTAAAGATTTAAGTCCCATCTAATAAATGTCATGAACTGTAAAGATTTAAGTCCCATCTAACAAATGTCATGAACTGTAAAGATTTAAGTCCCATCTAATAAATGTCATGAACTGTGAAGATTTAATTCCCATCTAACAAATGTCTTGAACTGTAAAGATTTAAGTCCCATCTAATAAATGTCATGAACTGTATAGATTTAACTCTCATCTAATAAATGTCATGAACTGTAAATATTTAAGTCCCATCTAACAAATGTCATGAACTGTGAAGAATTAATTCCCATCTAACAAATGTCTTGAACTGTAAAGATTTAAGTCTCATCTAATAAATGTCATGAGCTGTAAAGATTTAAGTTCCATCTAACAAATGTCATGAACTGTGAAGAATTAATTCCCATCTAACAAATGTCTTGAACTGTAAAGATTTAAGTCCCATCTAATAAATGTCTTGAACTGTAAAGATTTAAGTCCCATCTAATAAATGTCATGAACTATGAATAATTAATTCCCATCTAACAAATGTCAGAAACTGTAAAGATTTAAGTCCCATCTAACAAATATCATTAACGGTAAAGATTTAAGTCCCATCTAACAAATGTCAAGAACTGTAAAGATTTAAGTCCCATCTAATAAATGCTCATTTACGGCCATACACTGGATAACAAATCATTTGCATTTCAAATCTCATGGCTGATCATTAGATGCTTAATTTGCATGAAAATGAACTGGGAGAGTGATTGGTGCTATTTTATATCGCCTTATTATAATATCACAAATTCTAACTGTTTTGAGCAGTGTATTACTTACAATATCTGATCTAATCTAGGGATCACAAGATTAACTGTTTCATTAGAGATAGAAAAAAGTAAAAAGCGATTGCTATAAGTCAGTTTTTAACAAATTAAAAATTCACTACACAGAAACGTTCTTGTATAAAATTATCTGACTTTACGGTCTATTTGTTCGTTTACCTAAACTAGGGAAGGGTAGTAAAGGCTCATTTTTCACATATTTTTACTAAATCTAATATCGAAACAGCAGTGTTATTACACATCTCTTTGTGGGATTTCAGTGAGCTAAAAGTACATTTACCATAAGGTTGTGGCAATCGGTACTGGTATTTATGGCAAAGCCACTAAGACTATTTGCCGCCATTACTAATTTTGAGATAATGACCAGATTCAAGGCAGCCAGTCAGCAGCACCTTACCACCATGCTAAGGAATTGACTGCCACTCTTATAACTCTTGAATATCAATCAGTGTTGTGATTAGTAGCATATACGATCAACTGAGTCTAATTACTAATTCATACGAAACTTCATTAAACGTATACTTTGATAAAGCCTGCTTAAAATATGTTCATTTGAGTGTGAGATTTGGTAATTAAATCTGAGATGTTATCTCATTTTCTATAAGAACCAAATTAAAATGTGGCCATTAAACTGTAAATATTTTTTATTGTTTATTTGTTTCTAAAGTTAAAATATGGAGAAATAGCATGACAAGGAAAGAGGACTATTAAAATAATGGAGAAATAGCATGACAAGGAAAGAGGACTATTAAAATAATGGAGAAATAGCATGACAAGAAAAGAGGACTATTAAAATAATGGAGAAATAGCATGACAAGAAAAGAGGACTATTAAAATAATGGAGAAATAGCATGACAAGTAAAGATGACTATTAAAATAATGGAGAAATAGCATGACAAGTAAAGATGACTATTAAAATAATGGAGAAATAGCATGATACTGAAAGATGGCTATTAAAATAATGGAGAAATAACTTGAACATAGCATGTTTACTTGATTTACTTGAGAGTTTTAGCTTAAGGTGATACATATAAGTGAAATTTGATAAAAAGAATCGATTTATTTTTATATTGCCTGTAAATACACGTGAAATTTGGCCACAAATCGAATAGCTAATATGGCATTTAAAACATGCTAAAAGTGTGCTTTGATATTTTTAAATTTTATGAAAAGTTTTTCTCACAGTCCATTCTGAAACAACTGGACGAATCTTCTTGACTTTTGAGGACAGTCTCTTTCAGGTTCTGTACCATCAAAACGAGTTATGGAAAATTGTATAATTTGCTCTAAAAACATTTTTATGATAACGAAAATCTGAAATACGAAAGAATTATTATAGCATTTTTAAGATATCTATTAACACTTTATTTTCCAAAATTGTTTGTTTGTTGTTGAGCGCAAAGCTAGACAAAGAGCTATGTGTGCCGTGCCCACCACGAATATCGAAACCAAGTTTTTAGCATTATAATCCTTCAGCCTTACCGCTGTGCCACTGGGAGACTTTCCAAAATTAACACTTTCTAATAAGTCATGTTGGATTGTTTAACACCACATTATCCAAATCTAGTAAATATTTCGGAGTAAAATAGCTCTAAGCTAGTTACAGTAATCTAGACATACGGTAGTGTGTCGTGCGGCCAAAACAACCTGCATTGTGTTACTAAAAGGAGTGACAGTTTAGCAATAGTCTACTTACTGTAGCTAGGACTGTGGTAATTCAAACTATCACATATTTTCAGTATGTGTGCGCTACTGGACTCTTACTTCAAATACCAAATTTCAAGACAATCCATTAAGAAATACACGAGATATAAAATATACAAACTTTCAGTGAAGTTCTTCCTTTGTTTTTATTCGCACCGAAAGTACGGAAACTTTATTTGATAGAAAAACATAATTAACCTTTATGGATTTTTTTCAACTTTGGGGACATTAAGTTAGCTACCGTAATCTTGTTAACAGTAAGGTAAATTGCTCTTTTTTTTCCAAAAAAATAAATAAATGAATTTATATTGAATATATAATTTACTACTTATTTATTTTTGGATTTCTACAATATTTGTACCATAAGAAAGCGTAGCCTATTTTTTTTTTCAGCTTGCTCATTTTTATTGAAATGTCTTTATAATTCTCCTGTTTATTACTAAACCATTTTTAACTTAAAGTAAACCCAAAAGAGTGCTTTGTTCAGATTACTGAGACCATATCTAATAAAAAAATTTTCTGTACGATTCTCCGTTTCACCTTTCCTAATGTGTATATTCAACCTTACAGTCCCTCCACTACTTGAGCCCCCCAGTGGCACAGTGGTATGTCTGCGGACTTACAACGCTAGAATCCGGGTTTCGATACCCGTGGTGGGTAGAGCACAGATAACCCATTGTGTAGCTCTGTGCTTAATTACAAAACAAATAAACAAACCACTATTTAACGAGTGTACTCACTTACAATAACTGCCATATTCTAAAACCCTAGCAAAATTTGAGTAATTGTGCAAGACCACGCAAGTATGCTCTAGGCTATACAAAAGCCCACTCGTGGTTGATGACATTATAGTAAATGTTGATCATTTCATTTTAGGCGAGATATTTATCACTGTACAGCCAGTGCTCACTAAAATCCTCCATTACAGTTTTTTTTTGTTCTTTTCAGATACCAAAAAAATAATTGGTATAATAAAAGAAAATAGAACATTTCGCTTATCGTTTGTTAAAAAAAAATAAAACATTAAATAATATTATTTCTTATCGTTTAATTTGAAGCTCCTTTGTCCATATGCTTTGGTTCCCTCACTTGCTGATTAAGAATATGATAAATTGCGAACTGGTTGTTTCGCGCAGTTGTTTTAATGCCCATATGTTTGGCTGTTGATTTTAACACAGTCATTTACGGCACTTTTAAGAGCAGTGGGTGAAAGAACTCAGGAAAACATAGTCAGGTTTATTTTATTTTTTCTTAGTTCAACTCTTAATTTAAGATCATATAGCTTTTTATCTATTCCTATATCATCAAGATACTTTATATGTATGAGGGCTATGTAGAAAGAAACGAATTTTCCGTAGGCTAGTGATATCACACTACAGCCAATTGGACCATCAGACATCATTTTCAACATGGTCTTCATCAAGTATAATATATTTCATCCATCATTCCACCACGTTCGTCATACTAGTTCGTCAAAGTTAAGGCGTGTTGTTACGAATCCAATTGCATACAACAACTTTAAGAAGCCACGGGACTATAATAACATGTAAAAATCGGCTTTCCCAGTGATTTTCTTAATTACACGATGAACTTGAGGGGCTTTGAAATTATCTCGCTGCAGGAGGGCGGGTTCGTTTCGTCAATTTTGTCGTGTGCAAACAATATGTCAACTTTCTTCTTTAACAACGTGATTGTAGCAGGTTGTTAAAAACCAATGTCATTCGAAGTTGTCATTTTTGATAATTGTTATACATAATATGTGATACTGCTAATAATGGACGGATATTGACCTATTAACGATCAACTGTTAGCCGCAAATATACTCATATCTAGAGTTTATGAAAGAAAATCGGTTTCTTTCTGAATACCCCTCCTAATTTGTAAATTGATTATTCATTCATATTTTAGGCTTCTCGACAATATTTGATTTAATATAATTTTAACGGAGAAAAATAACCCTTATAGTACATTTCAAAATTAGTTGTTCTTTCTTTGTTGTTAATCATAAAGCTGCACATTGGGCTGTCTTAGCTGTTCTCACCAGAGGGGATGAGCCCCGAATTTTAGCGTTATAAGCCCACAAATCGCTGGGAGGGAGGGGCTCAAAGTTTATTAATCGCAAATGTTAGTATATTTAATATTTTCACTATTGCTATGCTGTAATTTCTCTAAATATTTGACAAATATTTAAAACTCACAAACAACCCAGTTACTAAACAAAATTCATATCTGAATATTACGGTAATTGTCGTAGAATAATATATCAGTATGGGTGTTTATGTTTTGAAGTTTCGCTCGTATATTCAGTACAGATACAAAGTTTATTGGAAAATCAGAGGCATGCCTAAACCATATGATACACACGGAATTGAAACTTATTATTAAAGTGTTCTCATGTATATATGCTTTCTAAGCCCTATTTATAATATTTTTTCCAAAGGGTTTTAGTATGTGTTCTAACCAGAATGTGCCTGTGTATGATATACATGTTTGTATTTATGTAAGTGTATATCTATATTGTTTTGTTGTTGTCGTTCCAGATAGTGAATATGTTCCTTAATGTGTGAATTGAGAAAATTAATTGGGTTTATTTTATTATCTAACTTTGTGGTATGACATGTTAAATCTTAATCTTCTGCGTAGAATTAACTTTTTATATTTCAAACTTGTAGGCTTATTTTGGCCTAAACATTACAACGCTACTTTTATGCAGCCACAAAGTGTGGAATTTCACACATCATTTCTAAATCAAAAATAAACATATGTATCTCTTACATTAAATGTGAGACATTGTTTTTTATTCTAATTATGTTAACATCAACTGAGAAGTAACTTCAACTGAAAAAATATAATAAAATTGAGTGAATCCTCTCACAGTACTTGAAGGCCTCAGGTGAACAGTCTTCTGTAAGGGATGGAGGAGGACTTGTTCCCTAATTTGTTCCCTAACTTTTAAATATATTAGGCACTATATATTTTGTTGCACTTTTCTGAAGAATAAGAAATAATGAATATGTTTTCCTTTCCCATTGCAGTCACAAGGTATCATTCAGTCTATGAGCCTATAATACTTAAAAACTGGGATAATTAAACCAAAAATTAACTTAATTTGCAATCGTTTGGAATAGAAATAGGCTCCAAACAATCCCTTATTTTAATTGTGTTTACGACCATCAGATGCCTCTGTAATTATCAGTCAAGCTTTAGTATCTGATTTAATGGAAACGGACACTCAGTTGAAAAAAAAGCAGTATTGTGAACCATCAACAAAAGTTACATTGATATTTCGATCTATAGATACCACAGGAATTCTAGTACACCAGAATAAAAATGTATGTGAGAATTTACACCACTTTTTTAAAGTAGGAAATCGCTCTGAAAAGAGGAAGGCAATGGCACAAAGGTGTTACTCTTCACGTGCCAAAAAACTGTCCTGGTGGACTAAGCGTTTTACACAGAAAAACTGACCAACCACATTAAACGAGGTTGTTTGAAAAAATGGAAGAGATAGGCCCAAGTTATTCTTTGGTTTTACCTCATTTCACTGAGTTCAACCAGTTTAGGGGAATTATACTCTTCGTCAGTAACCCTGGACAAGGGCAAATCAAAGAACATTATCAGACCTCATGTATTAGTATACTGCAGCTTATGTTATTATATATTATTCGTACATTTTATCTGGTTTAGCTTCTGTTTTCTCCTTTGCTAAATATGCCTTGCTGGATTACCTGTTTGTTGTAATAAAAACAACACCAACTAAATGGATAGCTTCTCTTTACCTGTAGCATCTTTACAAGACGTGTCAAACGTTAGATCAATCAGCTTATTTTGTTGCAAGTAGGAATTACAGATTTCTTGATGTATGAGATAATAGCAGCTCAGCAACAAGTTGTCGTTGTTGTTCTTTGAAGTTAAGTACAAAGCTATACAATGGGCTATCTGTGCTCTGCCCGCCACGGGTATCGAAACCCGTTTTCTAGCGTTGTAAGTCTACAGACATACCGCTGTGCCACTGAGGGCAACAAGTTGGATAAAAAGAATGCAGCCAGTCAGCAGCGCCGTATCATCCACTATCCACCCTAAGGGATTAACAGTTACTCTTATAACAACGCTTGTTTCTTTGTTGTACAGCAAAACCACATTGGGCTATCTGCTTTGTCCACCGCAGATAACTTAACACCGGATTACAGCGTTGTAAGTCCGCAAACTTCCCGCTCTCTCATCGGGGGACGCTCTTATAATGCATTCACAGCTTAAAGTGTGGGGAATATTTTGTACTATAACTATTTTGCATTTGAAATAGTATTGCACATTCAGGTATCTCTGTAGTGTTCTTCTTTTAACTGGTATTATTTTACATTCTATGAAATATGTTTGTTCCTCGTTATGTAGTTTTTGTTGTTGTTCTTTTTTATATAAATATTCTTAACAGGACAGATTCTAATTAGAATCTCGGATTTCAGAGTACGTTTCTTAACCTATTCCCGACAACAATGGGACAAATAATGCTGTACCTACTTCCACTAATTCTGGGCCGCACTTTTAACGAGCGAACCAGCAAGCCTGGAATTGATATATATAAACAATCAAGAATTGACGCTAATAAAAAGGTAGAGACGGAATACATTAAGTGACAAAATTTGGAGAAAAAGTAACAATGTTATAGCTTTTAGAACTCGAAAACGACAACATACACTGACTGGTTACAATAAATATCAATATTATTTTAACCCATTTTTATTAACACTACAAAATTAGTGGTATTTAGATCGATCTATAATCATACACACATGTATATATATATATATACATTATTTTGGACTTGAAAAATAAGGTACTAAACATACGAGTTGGTGGATGTTCCAATCATTTGGTCCCTTATATACACGTTTAAGGTCTTACGTAAGCATGCAGAAATCAGTAAGAATATGAAATACGATAACGTTTTGTCAACCAGAATGTTCCTCAATGAAAAAAAAAAGCATTAAAGCAACAATTAAAATAAAACTTTAAAATTCTTTTGACACATCACACACTCGTTTTTAGATCGTAACCAATAGCACAGTATTTGGTAATCCAATCTTCTAGGCTTGAATACTTTACCACAAAGCGTATTTAAAGGGTAATTGTCTAGCATTTAACAGGCTATCTCTTTAGAGGATCCAGTTGTTTTTAAATGGATTAACGGTTGGGTTAGTCACCCACACTGAAACTGTTTTTGGTGAGGGTTAGGATACTGAGTATACAGTATTAGTAATAAAAATAACGAAAAACGCGTGTATCATGCTGTTTAGTATCTTATGAAAACAAGTTATTGTGAATTATATTGTTAATCATATAATAACGAAAATCACATGAATTATATTGTTAAGCACCTAATAATAAGAAATTCGTACATTGCAATCTTGAATTAGGTGGTCGAACGCCATTTTACCGAAGCCCTGTACAAACTTTCAGATCGGAGCCAGAAAGCAAATAATTTTCTCGGGGTTTCAGGAGAGCTTGCTCTCAACATCAAAGGAGGAAATATCAAAGTTAAAGGAACTGGTGATTACCTAAGAGAAGCCAGTAAGATGACCAACACTGTGGAAATCCTGGTGAAGGTTCATTACGAAACGGTAAGTTTTCATTACAAAACGTTTTAAACAGCATTATTGTAGCCATTTAATTACGAACTGTGTCAACCTGTTCTCATGACCTCAACAACAATGGTTAGTTTTATATTATTACTAGCGTATAGCCTGTCAAAAATGACGGGGTAGGTACTATCACCCCCACCCCATAGTATACCCTAACCTCACATTTCATAGCTAATTGAAATAAATAACTTTTGCGAAATCAAGCTTGACCAACAAAGAGGTAGAACATGCACTCGAGGCAGTCAAACGTCGGTAAATTCCTTTGTGAGCCAATCAAAATTAGCATCACTCACGAAATGAATTCCTGGCGTATTCGTAGAATAATTATTGGCAAAAATCAATTATATTAACAACTCCTAATATATAAAAAAGCCAGTGCGTTTTAGTAACACTACATTCCAACAATGGTTTTTATGTCATGTTGCTTAGCAACAAAAATATAGCCTAATACTGTTATTAATCTATGTACTGAAAGTATAAAATGAAATGTTTCACAACAAAACTGGGAAAATATTTTGTTACGACAGCGGAATTCACGTGACGCTGGTAACACGTAATGAGTATCTAGAACGTTCGTGAATGCTCGAGTGTTTGCTAGACGCCCTCTATTTTGTATATATATGACCGGCAAGAAGTGACGAGAGAGAATAATTGCAGACAGAGAGATATAGAGACAGATAATCGAGTCAAGCCGTAAGTAAAGTGTGTAAATCGTTGTGAATTCTAGCTTGTGTTTAAGTTAAAGTGAATGTGGAAATTAAGTGTATTGCAAAGTTGTATTGAGAAAGAATAAACTAGTTTTATTTAAGAAAGGACTTGTGTCGCTAAAGTTTCATCCGAAAGAAATTTTACGGGAAATTAACAAACGACCAGAGACCTAACAATTTGTTGATTTCTTAATTCAGATACTCCGTTGATTAAAGAGGTTTGTTTGTTTTTCATTAAAAACGTTGGTGATATAACAGAAAATAGCTTAATTCAGAAACGATTTTAGTTTAAAATTGAAATGATATCTTTACTTTTATGAAAAGTTTTATGCACTTGGCTGTAGGCTAAATGATCACACACTAAGTCTTCACTTTAGGCTAATTATACCAACACTCACTATACTTATAAGGTTTCACGGTACACACCCTTATGACCCCCTTGCACCCCGTCACTAAAATCATAATGGACAGACAGTAATCGAAGTATTCTATCTGGATAAATGCATTTTGACTTTTATGACTCTTCCCATCCCGAGAAATCAAACGTGACGTGACACACACTAACTTTTAAATAGGTTAGATATGAAAAATAGACCTCGCGGTTAATGATGACAATTTCGAAATCCTATAAACATTTCCAGAAATCATACAACTTTCTCTTTCTGTTTTTTTTGTTTTGTTTTTGTTTTTTGTAATAAGATAACAGAAACCATCCAGTTGTCTCGTGATATGCTTCAACCTGATATATGGCGGGAAGATATTCCAAAAGATATCCTCGGAACTCACTTTGTTCGAAGTATCACGTATGGGGGGGAGCTCATAGCTTCAATTCGATACAAAGCTAATCGTATAGAAAACTTAGAAGACATCAAAGCAAAACTTGAAGCTAACATCGGAACAGGAGGGGGGTTTAACGTGGCCGTAAAGGGTAAGAAGAGATTGTTAAGTTTTAAGCACATTTAAGGAAAATAATGTTATCCACAAGATTTAAAACAAAAACAGTGAGACCTATTTGGTTGTTATTTGTTTTTATTACTTTGTTCCATTTTATTTCATTAATTGGAAACATGTAATTCCTAATACTTAACAACTTTGACCTTATTAATTTATATTATTTTTCAGTATTTTTAAATCATGTTTTTTTTATGTACTTATTCCACTGATAAAGCCTAAATCCCGAAAAAAGACAGTGAAGGAAAGAACTGTTGTGTTAAACGGACTAGTGACTAATATCCTATGAAAGTACGTATTTAACTCTTTATTATAGCTGTGTACAATATGAACATTAAATAAAATTACATGACCACTTTAGGTCAACTTGATAAGACGTCCAAAGAACTCAGTGACATATCGTCCATGGAAATTCAGTATTATGCTACCGTACCTATTGCTGACGTTCCTCATACCATAGAAGGCTTAACAAAGTTAGTCGAGAAGTTTCCAGAACAAGCCAAACAGGTGAACAATGGAAGTGGAGTTCCTATTCGTATGGAGTTAGTTCCTCTTTCTGCGCTTAAAAGTATGGACAAACAGTTTTCGAAGACAATGTAAGACTCGTGTCATTATTTTTTCTTCGTAGCTGAATTTTTTAGTTAAGAAAAGTGTTGTTGTTGTTTGTTATAAAGCACAAAGCCACACATAGGGCTATCTGTGCTCTTCTCACCACGGGTATCGAAACCCGGTTTCTAGCGTATGTAAAGTGAACTTTCAAGTTCTTCCCATAAAAGTTATTTCTGTGTTATGTTATTTAGACGTTAAGATTTTGCAAGATCCTAATTAGTTCATTTATCTTTCTACGTCACGTTCCTTAAAAAGTACTACAATTGTTATTTTTAGGAGTTCTTTATCATTATAATCATTTTCATAGTCAATATACGCCCACTAGTGTGTTTCGTTGAAATATTTGATGAATAAAGTAACTTACCTTTATGCCTAGTTGCAGTGGCGTGAGTATGCCTCCGCATCCCTTGCAATTGCGGGAGGGCCGAGCCAGAAAGTGGGCTCGAAGAGCCTGACAAACTTAAGAATTGCCAACAATGGGAGATAAACTTTAATTTGTTTGAAGTAAAGGTCGGTTACACTATTCTGTTAAGCCAGAATCGTAACAACAATTATAGGAAATAAATGTCGGCGTTCAATTACATTTTATGCAGGGAGGACATCTTTTGTGGTTACGCCACTAGCTAGTTGTTTGAGTTTGTTTAAATACTACACAAATATTAGCAAATTCGGGCATTATTTAAGATTAATAAACAATTATATTAGACTTAAAAATTACAAAATCTATATATAAAGCACAAAAATCTGTGTGTTTGTCTGTACGCTATCTAACTACTCCTAGGTCGCTGGACCAATCACAACCAAACTTTGTGGAATGATAGTTTGAAGCAAAGAGCATGTTAATAGTGGTTCACAACACCTCCAACCCCCATTATTGCTGTTATTGAGTATTTATTACCTTTGAGATAAGTTAACATTAACTACATTCACAGATAACGCCACGTCCTTACACAAACAAAATACTTTTTTAAATTTTCTATAAATCAACATACAAAGTGTGGTGGGAAGGGCACACAAACGTCTTATATATCTCAGAGATTGCAACAGCACTCTCTATGGAGGAATACAATGAAAAAAATGGCCGCCACTATTCCAATAAGACATAAACTCAACTGAAGTTTCTACTCCAACAGCTTCCTTATACCCGCTTCCTACTTTGACCTGTGACCTTTCAAATTGGAAACTTTTTCGGACAATGACCGTCAACTAATTAATCAAGTAGAAGGTCGTTAAGAGCTGGGTGTTGAAAGCGGTAAGCAGAAGCCCCCCCCCCCTACCGCTACCACTTTGACCACTACAAAATCACTCTGACCATCTCACAGTATATATACCATGATTTAAGTATATACATATTGAGTTCTTAAAGCTTATACAAAACTTAGGGTGAGGTAATAATGAATACCGTAATAATGTATTATGTTATAAACAAGTTGTGTGAAAGTTCATAACCCAGACAACGGAGGGTTACCTCAGCTTGTATTCTATAAAAATGAAAAATAACTGAGGTTGTACACCCCGATAGCACTGTAGATACCACTTCTCTCCAAATTAACAAAATGCAAGAAAAAAATCAGAATCAAAATAACAGATGATGAGTTAGAAATACTTTTTAGGGATGAAATTCAGGAGCTCAAGATCACAATATCCTGAATTTAACCACCTTCTGCTTGTGGATATGTTGATGACCCTTAAATAATCATATTATATAATATATTGATGTTATTAGAATATTACTAAAAATAAAATAATGAAGAAAATGTATAACCTTCCAGTATATTTCAACATCTAGCAATATGACACCTAACTACCAACTATAATAATATCACATTGACTGGTTTTTAATTAGCCTTTTATTAAATAACAGGAGAGTCTAGGGTATTCCTAACGATATTTAGATACTACGACCATAGTTTTCTTTTTCTTTTTTTTACGTCTTCCTTTTGTACTTTTTATATCTTATACAAGTTTTAATAATCTTAGTTTGTCAAAAATGTGTTTCTCGCTGTGTTATAGTGCTGAATATCTATAGTGTTCTATGTTAAAATGTAGTCATGATTATATACCCTTGGTTAAATATTTCTTAGAGGATTTGTTGGTAAAACAAAATCTTTACTGCATCATATCAGTTACATTTGTTGGTGTTTAACTAATAGATTACGCCTTCTTTTTGATCAGTTATCGTGTCTGTTTTATTGTTAGGATTTTTAACGCAAAGTTAAACGAGATGGGTGCACAGTTTGACGACATAAAATACACTAAGCGGGCGTTGTTTGAATGGATGACCTACATTCCACTATCTTATTTGCCAGAGGAGTATCAGCGAAAGGTATAAATATAGCAAATGTATAATGGAAGACTGTTTGGAAAGCATTTTTATTAAAAACCGGAGAAAGATTTTTAAAAAGTTGAAATTATAATTTGGTGAATATTGTAAGTAATATGTAAGTAGTAAGTTTACATAGTTACAACGCTAAAATCCCATGATGGACAGAGTACAGGTAGCCCATTGCGTATCTTTGTATTAAGAAACAACAACAAACATAATCTATACTATCAATGTGCAACAGAATTTTATAGAAAACGTAACTTATAACAGAAACAAAAATGCCCACCGAGGCAAGAAAAGAGTCAGAAGATTGAAAATGGATGATCTGAAATGTACCAAAATATAAAAAAAACAAACGACAACAACAAAAAATACATTTTTCCAAAGTATCGATTCATAACTCTATAAAGTCGGGTCTATAATTTCTCTAAGCCAACCAGCCACTCTTAGCCTTTAGGACCATTTGTTTGTTTGTTTGTAATTAAGCACAAAGCCACACAATGGGCTACCTGTGTTCTGTCCAACACGGGTATCGAAACCCGGCATCTAGCGTTGTAAGTCCGAAGACATGCCGCTGTGCCACTGGGAGGTACGACCATATGGGAAACAAAGTTTGTTTGTAATGAATCTCGCGCAAAGCTATACGAGGGCTATCTGCACTAGCCGTCCGTAACTTAGCAGTGAAAGACTAGAGGGAAGGCAGTTAGTCATCACCACCCACCGCCAACTATTGAGCTACTCTTTTACCCACGAATAATGGAATTGGCCGTTATATTATAACGCCCCCACGGCTGAAAGGGCGAGCATGTTTGGTGGGACGGGGATTCGAACCCGTAACCTGCACATGGCGAGTCGAGCGCCCTAACCACTTGGCCATATCAGGCCGGGGAAAGAAAAAGAGAGAAAACAAACGTCATAAAACTAGTTTAGCCCCTCCGTGGATTTCTAATGCTAAAATATGTTTTCGATTCCCGCAATATAGCTTTGTGCTTAATAACAAACAAATAAGAAGATTAGTCTCATGATCGTAATTTGAATTTGATGTTCGTTTGGTGCTACTTATGGGCTACTAACTGTGACAACAATGTAATCTAGAAGCCTATACCGTTTTGAGATCTACTGTCTTCTACCCTTTTGTCCTGTCGGATCTTGATTAAGTTTTTATGGTCACTGAATCTTTAAGTTATGATCCTTTTTTGTGTATCGAATCAATCGTATGATCATACTTTGCACAGCTAACGTAAGCTCAGTATACATACATATATAAATGTTAGCAACGTTATATTAAAATTATTTTTCAACTTAACCACGTCTTCACGTCCGGTCGTGCTCTATCTGACAACCGTGCATCTTGACCATAGCTCTGCAACATAGCTTCTATTGCAAAAGACTATTTTGTAAGACTGTCGTATCAAAAGTAAACTACTCCTTCGTGTTAGATTTCCATAATTCATCTAGTATATATAAGAAGATAACGGTTTCCCAACGCCATTTTAAGCAGTCCGATCACAGAGAAATCTAAAGGTACTACTCTTGGTGACATGTCCAATTTGTCTTCTTATAGAATAGTATGAGTATCCGTTTCATTTTCCAACTACTTAAGGTATGCGACGGTTGAACGGGTGTTATAACTAGAGTGAATCAATACCCTGTTGACCTTGTTTTCAGTTAGAGATCTTTCTTGATTATCTTGCCTACTATTGCCTGTGGCTCGTGCGCGGCTTTTGTCACTGATCTTTGTGTTCATAGATTCTCAGCCTGTCACATGACCCTGCACTTTGTTTACCACGGCTACGATAACATTTGTTACAGTCCTCTATCTGGATGGTTGTTTCCCAAACTTTATCCTCTGTTTTCCAATGCCATTAAGTACAAGATATATTCCCGTCTTGGAAACTCTAAGTCCTCGATATGAACACATCTTTATGATCTGATTTAAAGAACATTTTGGTCAAAAATGGGTGTTACATATTCTTCCCAAAAGCGATAAATTTCTGGTGGCATCGCACTACCTACGAAACGCCAAGCAGTGTGAAAATGTAGTTCTGATACATCCCGTTCTACCGCGATTTTATATCGACCATAATTGTCACGTGACTTTCTTATTTGCATATTCAACACTCTTTTAAAATTAACGTAGTCAACCCTCTCTATATTGTAAGATATACTATGTTATTATTACCTAAAACAGCATTATCGTTGAAAATGTTCGTTTTACAATTTTTAGGTTTAATGAGAAGTGAAATACTTGTGAACAAAAAAATCTTTCTTAAGTTTAAGGTAAGAAGTGTGAAAAATAATTGTGACCGTTCTACCATGTTAGATTGTTTTTATTACGATAAGATTCAAAGGTCTGTTGTTTAACTTGCATTTCCTGAAATATTACGATTTTGCTCTTACTATACAACTAGTTCTTCCAATAAAGATATTATAATTAACTCTCTTTTTTTCTACATTATTCATATGCTGGTCAAAGATGAATTAAAATTACTTTTGTCTGTAACATCCTCATTTTCTTTTCTAGTACAACGGACCTAGTTAACTGACTTCAGTTTCATTCCGAATGTTTCTGGTGCAATATTACAGTGATTAGATTTTCAGAGAGTATGGGAAAATGTCTATACAAGTATTGGCTTGCTATAAGGAATTAATTTAAATTTCTCTAATAATATTACAGATTGGCCTGCTGAACACCAGGTTGGATACAGTCAACAGAGAGATTTTCAAGGTATTAGATAAATTAGACTTATCCACTTCAGGTGAAGTATCCCAATTTAAAGATGCTTTCGATAACTACCAGGATGGGGGGATATCTCTGCCTGGCAAGTATTTCCACCAATTTCTGAAACTGCGAGACGAAATTGTAAGCTTACTTTATGTGCTATTCTATATTAAACTCAACTTGAATAGTTGTAAAAATTCCTTGTCGCGAAATATTGCGTACATATATAGTAGCATATTACCTAAGAGTAAATAAAATTTTATTATTTTAAAAGAAGTGTAAAGGTGCCATGAAAACTTTAAAAATGCCCAAGTGCTCAGATAGTTGGTTTCTAATAAGCTGCATCTACAACAAACATTATTTGTCAAATTCTGTCGACAACTGATCCATTTACACGAGTTAACTAACAACTTTACCTTTATATCACATTTTCAAACAAAATGGCATGCTTTTGTATCATGACTATCTTTCTATTGGACAGTGACTTGACAGATTCTATTGCACCTTTGAGACTTCAAGGATGATGCAATGATGTTAGTTTAATCAAATATTAAAATTCATATTTAATGTACTTGAATATATGTGCTGTCTGGAACCTTTTTTGAGTATATAAGAAGCAGCTTATATAAGCAAATACTCGTACAAAATAATATAATCATACTATTTAGATAAGAAAATTTAAAGCATGGCTTTTGGAGTCCGTATGAAATAAATATACGAACAAATAAGTACAAAAACACTTATTAATATTTTATAGACACCATTTAAAGTTAGAAATTAAATAACCTAAAACAAAGTAATCATAAATAATCATTAAAATCTTCTTAAGAAAAAAATTAACACTGTATTAGTGAAAATTAAATTTTGCTGAAGATTTAGAACAAAGTCTTAAGTCTGTTATTTAAAAAATTTAGTTAAAACATAAAAATAAATTTTCTCGTTTTTTAAATAGCTTTTAGCTTTTCTATTGTAAAATCAAAATGAAGCAGTTCATTTCCAAAATGTCTATCATGTTTTCTGTCTTAGATAATTGTTTATCAAATATTTAATTCTGAAGTCATAAATGTTGAATTTTTTAATATGATTGTCATAATTTCTTGCTCTAATTTGCACTAAAAACAGAAAAAAAGGTATTTAGTGCATAACCTGTAAATAATTAAATACCAAAACAAAAAATAATATCTATTATGCTGATTCAGTATATTTAATTAATAAATTACCAAATTGGTTGTATTTATAATTAAATGAACTCAATATAGCTGTTTTGTTCTTTTTTCAGATTTCTAACGTGACTGGTGAGTTCGTATTCTTAGAATTTTATTTCAATAATTATTGAAGTCTGTTGTAGACTGAAGACATAATATAAAAACGTTAACAACACCTCAAGCACGTTTCTTATGTTTATGCTCAAATGTCACAACCAATAGTAAACACCAGTGATATGCACAGGGTGTATCAGAGGCAACCTCCAGTAACATTTCCACCCCACCCCCAAAAATGTCTTGCCTTGCGATATTTGAAAATTGACCTTTTTTATCAATAAGTTTCTATCCTTATAATGTCCTCTGCAAGTTATTGTTAAATGTTTTATTGGAATATGTTTTAAACACCCAGGTAATATTTAGTAAGATGCTCTGTTTAATGGCGTCCAATTAATCCACTAATATATTAAATCAATTCAATAATTTATAAAGATTCAATTATATATATCTAAAACTATTTACACAATTATCATGAGTAATTTTCCAATTAAATCAATCTATTATGACTAAAGTTTTCAGAATGTTGATGTTTTCCAACCAAAATTTATCTAATGAAAAAAGCTTCTTTTTTTTCAGAACTCCAAGAGCTACGAGGTGGATCCACTTATATTTGGTGGGGAAGTGACAATTGTGGTACTTCTTCTGAATCCCAGAAAACCGCTTATGAAATTTACAGAGGAGTTGCAGTAATTTCAGACGTCGACAGAGGGAGCTCTGCTAGCATTCTTTGTTTTCCAAATGACCTGCAACTTGATTCTGATGAAGATCTTTTAGATGAGTCAGCTAAACTAGTGCAGATAAAATATCGATTTGACAGTGAAGAAAACTTTTTAGCCTGTTCTATTTGTCGTTTACGCAATGTAACAGCCCCCACTATGTTTCCTGGGCAAAATAAGTGTCCTGAATCGTGGACACTTCACTATGGCGGATTTCTGATGGCTACCGAAACTGCTGGACGCAAGGGTAAATTTATTTGTGTTGACCGCAACGTTGCCATTAAGACTGGGAAACTTAGCCCTATACTAATGGAAGTCAACCCAGCAGATAATCAACCACTAATTACATATACTACTCTGTTCACTCAAGGGACACCCTTGTACAAAAAGGACACCTTACTTCCTTGTGTTGTATGCAGCTACTAATAAACATACAAGCACCGTTTGGTGTAATTACATACGTATATATATATACGTTCTTTTTTATTATATATATATTTTTTAATTCGTGCATGATTATTTAATAAAATGGGTTCTCACACGACTATTAAGAATTCAAGAAATTTCATTTCGGCATGAACAGAAAAATTGGATCCTTTGTGTATTATTGTAAACATAGTTATAAACGGTGGCTTTGGTGTCTCTGCTCATACTTAAAAAGTATTTAGAACAAAAAGTAGTTAGTTATAACTGGTCACTAATTGCTCAAATCTACAAGTTTGGAATTTCTAATTGAAACGTTTTATTTACAACTGTAGTAGTAATAAATGTACTGTACTCTATTTCACGATAATGCCGGTAGGATGACTTTATAATTGTTGCTACTGTTTTTACTGGTGCAGGGTTAAGGAAAATGTAACTGAACCGACTAACAGCAAAGATGTTCCGAAAGGAGTTAATTGCGTTTGTCTCTGTTGAGATTTTTTTATGTGTTTTGAAGTGTGTAAAACTATGTGCAATGAATTATAAAAGCGTATAAAAAATGAGCAAGCCCATAACTTTAACAAAAAGTAATATTGTAGAGAAACAAGTATGTTTCTGGACTCTTAAACCTAACACTTATTCTTCTGGTATTTAAGATCGCTTTTCCAGTTTCTTCATTCCACCACATAGATGTACTATCTATATGCTCATCCGGACGCGAGTGAATAACTTAGAAGTACTGCATTCAAATGGAAGTATCCTCACCAGCTGCGTCGCTTTGAGAAATTTCTATTACTTTATTTGTTTGTTTATAATTAAGCACAAAGCTACACGATGGGATGTTTGTGCTCTGCTCACCACGGGTATCGAAACCCGGATTCTAGCGTTGTAAGTCCGCAGACATACCGCTGCGCCACTGGGGGGGGGCAATAGTGTTAGATTCCCTTTATAATACTTTTAATGGTATTAGATTCCCTTTGTAATACTTTTAATAGTGTGTTAGGTTCCCTTTATAACACTTTTAATTGTATTAGGTTTCCTTTTTAACACTTTTAATAGTGTTAGGTTCCCTTTATAACACCTTCAATGGTGTTAGGTTCCCTTTATAGTTTCTTTTTTTTATTTAACACTAAGCTACACTACAGGATTTTACCGTAAACTTATCGCTGACCTACTGGGGGACAATAATTTTAGAAGTATTATTTGATAGACCAAACCTGCATGTGAAATTAGTATGGCCCCTAATCCTTTGTCAGAAACAAAATATTTAAAACTATTTGTTCGTCAAACTTTTTACTAGTAACTTTCAAATAGTTTATTAATATAAACAACTAGATTAATTATTAAAATAAAATAGAAGCAAAGCAAAATATATAGTTTTGCAAATCATGTTATAGATATTTTATTGTTCTACGATTGTTGAA